AAGTTGAGCAAAGATATTGAATTCGATTGAAAATGTTAAATAAGGCTACCAAATAAACACTCAACTATTTACCAACACCACAATCATCATCAGCACCACAATCATCATCATCATTGTCATCATCAACACCACAATCATCATCAACAACACCGCAATCATCATCATCATCACGACTAACTTTTTTCTTACCCTTGACAGGCATCAACAGACCCATGCCCGCCAGTCTCTCGCTATAACTTCTCCTATTTTGTGAATTTTGATCATCGTGTCCTTGAACTTTGCCGCTAAGGTCACAGAGGTCACGCAGGCCACCTCTTTCAAAGTTAACATGAATGTCAAGGGCGGATTTGTGGGGGTCGTAGAGAGTTCTGGGCCTCAAAAATTCGCCGCTATTCATACTGTAAGACCCAATGCTCCGACGTTCTCGCATTCGATTTAATGCCCAATTTTCGTGGAGTAAAAATGCGTTTTTTGGTGTTTTCGCGGAAATATTTTTGGCGGGAATGGTTTTTGCGAAGACGTTTTTGGCGGAAAAGTTTGGATCGTCAAAAAATTGAGGGTGCATTTGTTGCAGTGTGTAGGATTTTGAGTTTGGAAGTGGATCAAGCAACGAGGTAGTTATGCTGTTGCTGTTGTTGTTGTTGTTGTTGTTGCTGTTGTTGTTGTTGTTGTTGCTGTTGTTGTTGTTGTTGCTGCTGCTGCTGAAGTTTTTGGAACTCTTCTTGCAGATCTGATGATGACTTGAATGGAGAGGTTGGTGGTGGTTGAAAAAACTAAATCTGAATTTTGGGGTAGTTGAATTGACATCCTCATCGTCGTCGTCATTGTCGTCGTCGTCATTATTGTTGTTGTTGTTGTTGTTGTTGCAGTAGATACTGAAACTGCTCCTATTGTTACGTCTTTTGATGTTGTTGTTGTTGTTTAAAAACGCCACAAGATTATTATTGTTGTTTAGGTTGTTGTTGTTGTTGTTGTTGTTGTTTATTAGCGTGGTGATGTTGTTCGTTGACGCTCGCCTAATTATCATCTCTAACTCATCTTCGTCAGAGGCCATCTTGCTTTTTGCGATGATAATGATGATGATGGTGGTGGTGATGATAA